ATTCAAGCGCTCAAAATTTCCTCTCACACACTGAACGCTAATCAATCACGTAAGTGTAACACACACGTGCACATAGTCGCTCGCTCTCGCGCCGCTTTCGAATTTCTCGTTGTCGACTCGCGTCAACTATTGTTTCTCGTGTTACATATCAAACTGACAAACTTTCGGCATCAAACTGTCGTAAACAAACAGGGGTGAGAGGGAAAGGCACTGTAGCGTTTCGCCAATTCGGTGTTGCACATTCCACTTTTCTGAAGTATCTCGGATTTCTCTGAACTTGGACTTGTGCATCCCCAATCCGGGATCTACCGATTTTGTGACGCCCGATCTCTCTGCACGTATGTACGTCTCGAACGTACTCCTCATTCTCTTCGCTTCCGTCCGCCCATTAATTTGCATTTGACGGACATTGAGGAATGAACGCTCGCTGTGATCGATTCTTCTCCGACGTACGTTTTCTTTCATGTAACACTGATTTATACAATGTGATTTAGAGTTTAGAGAAAAACGACACGAGATCGGCAATGTAGCTCGAAATCAAACGGATATTTTGAGCGATTTATTTTTTGAGTGAGAGAGAGAGAGAGAGAGAGAAATCGATCACGAGGATTAGAAGACGCCGCGCCTTTTAAGTAGCCATTATCATACTGATCAAGCAACATCTCTCTTCAAGTAGCATCCCCCCTAATGCATACTAATATCTCGCACGAAGAAACTTTCCCCGTGTTTACCGTGTAAGCTTGCTTGGGAAACTTGCGACGGCCACCGTGTTATTCATAGTTCTTCATTCGGAGGACGACACAATCGACATTTCATTAGGGAACGATCGTTCTTCATGTGATCACAAGAAAACCGCGTAAGTAGTCGAACATACATTGGAGGGGGGGTGAAATAAAAAAGACGCGCTGCGTCGAGATAAATTTCGTCGGTTCATCATTTTCTCCTCGCGCGTAACGCGATTGGCACGTATATGATTTATATACCTTCGCCGCGTTGCGCTATCGCAACGATTCCAAGATAAATTAGTTGCTGAAAGCCACGAGGGGGGTTGCGCCATTTTTATATGTGAGGGTTTATAAGACGCGCGACCGGGATCCCCGTCAGCTTATTTCTTTTTCATTCGAGATATCATATCCTCGCACATGTGCGATTTTATATATCACTCTCGTCACTCTCTTTTTTTCTTTCTCTTCTTTTTTTCTCTCTCTTTCTCTCTCGCTCGCGTGATCATATTATAAATTGCTGAAAGACGGACGGGTAATCCCTCGCGGGTGATGTACGAGTTTATTATCCGAGGCGCTAAGCGCCGTCTGTTTCGTCTCTCGTAAAATTCTCGTGTGTTTTGTTTTTTTTTTTTTTTTTTTTGGACGGGAGCTCATCGCGCGTCGCGCTTACAACGCGCACATACAAGCGCCGTTAGAAAACTTGTGCTTACAAAGTGCATGCTTGACTTTCTTTCGCGTTTTTCTGTCGCCCGTGGATTATTAATTACACACGAAACAAGCCCGGAAGGAAGAATATGTCGTCGCGCGCGCGTGACGAAGAAAATAACGCGCTCGTTTCGGATTCTATTCCGGGAAATAACAAAATTCGCGAAAAAATTTTTTACCAGAGTCATCTCCGGTCGCGCGCGCGAAATATTAATTTTGTAGTCGCAAAATGTTAAAACTCGCGTATTATATAATAATATACCTCCCGTGAGAAATATAAAACGTTGTTTTGCCTTCGGTCCCTGCAACTTATTGCTCGCGACTTGAGCTCGCGTTCTGTGAACAGGGCCGATTAAAAGTAACGACGAAAAGAAATCCTTTGAGGCTCGCTGAACCGAAAATGCATCGTGGATCGAATAATTAGGGTATGCAACGTGATATGCGGCGCGCACGACCGGCATATATACGTTTTTGACGTCATCGATGTGTATAGTTGTGAGGCGTCGCGCGCGCTCTGTCTTTCGAGCGCACGCAAATCTCGGCCGTGCGCGACATCCGAAAATTCGCGCCGCAATATCTCGCCACTCATCGTGTCTGTCTTTTTGTGTTCGTTATCTATTTGTTTTTTGTTTACTCGTGTTATCTATAATTTTTGCGATGAGCTTCATAGCGTCATAGCGATCGCAAGTTAATAGCGCGTTATACTAGGTTTGATCGTGAAAAAGTTTATATGTGTGTGCGTGTGTTTGAGAGTGAGGCAGCATGTGCGCTACGTGCAATAGATATAGCATCGTCAGGGCTGCTTCGCGCACAACTTTTTTATACACGCAATATATATATGCAGTTTTTATATTTAGGGACGCATCGATCTCTCTCTTTCTCTCGGCCTTTTTCATCGCGAGCCGTATTTATGGGGTTTTGTGCGCGCGCGAGTAGTTTGGCGAATTTTCGTCGAGAGAAAACTTGAAGCGCGACGCTCGCTTATATTTAAGTCATATCTCGCGTCGAGAAATTACTCGAATATCGATCACGCGCGCGCTCGAAGAGATACGCGGCACACGTCATGTTCGGCGGTGATTCTGTGTCGATATCACTCGGCTCTCCCCGATGATGGATGAAATATTATTTCATTATACGTAGAACACACACACAGAGACGCACAAGCGAAGGTTGATGGGTTTTTTGTCTTCCTTTTATATAAGAATGATGAATTCATAATTAATTATACGGCGCATTGTACGGATGTCTAATTACAGAGAGAAATATAAATATTTCTGGAAATTTCAACAAAGCCCATTCAGAGCGCATTTTCCGGACACGCTGTGTTTAATCCCGTCACACACGCAATGCGCAAAAACGTTCAGAGAAATATTTTAGAAAATATTAACAAAATCTTTCAAAAAGGCTTTTTTTGTTTTAAATACAATTTATTACAGCGACATATAAATTTTCTTAAATACATCGGGATTGATATTTCGCGATGTACGAACGTTCGATGAGAAACGTTAAACATTAATTTTAACATTACGGAGTCACGATTGCGAACGTACGTATTAACATCGCGTTTTCGCTTCATTTTACTCGATGCGGTTCGACCGCATATCTATTCGCCGATGCAAAATTACGATTGTCGCGCGCGTCTGTTTCGTTTCGATCGATCATCGGTAGACGCAACAGTGCGATATCGAACGGCGTGTGTGTATTGCCGTCCATGCGGGTATCTCTGGCCGGTCTAGGAATAGCTCATCCCGACCGGGCATATTATTATCTTTGCCATTAAAACATCCCCTTTAGTTAGCATTTCACCTTGCAACGAGGACGCGAAGTTATCGGCGGCGCGGAGGTGCGCCGTATCTCTCGCCGGGCAGAGAGTCGATCTTACACGTCGTTGCTCGACAAAGTGAACCGACGCTCGTATTAATATCTAGGGTCCGTGGCTGTCACCCTCTGTATTTCTTCCTATCCTGCTGCTTTTAACGCTCCAAGTCTCTTCGGGGCTTCGTGAGAGAGAAAGAGAGGAAAGAGAGAGAGAGAGAGAGAAAGAAACAGAGAGAAAGAAAAAGAAATCGGCGCGCGTTCTGAAATCTGTTGTGACATCACACAAAACACGCGTTTAGTTTGAAAATCTTGAATGACGTTTAAATACGCGCGAAACGATCGACGCTATTAATCACCTGTACGAAATTCTGCTCTCGACGTTATCCCGTTGTTATCTCGTCGCGTGAATTGCGGAAATCGCGGTCTCAACAACGGAGTTGCAAGCAAGAATTGTGCCTCACACAACGACAGTGCGGTCGTAACTCTGCGCCGATACAGATCGCGATCGGTTTGCAGTTTCCGCGTTTTTTTCTTATCAATTGAGATATTCTCGAGAGAGAATCGCACAGTCGTTCTCGAGCTGTTCGCGTCCGAAAACCGGAGTATCGGTAACTTGTCGTGTCGTTTTTGCTTTCGCGAACGCGAATGAAAATTCGGAGAATATATTATTTCACTCTTCAATTGTGACCTCTCGGAAGAGAATATCGCAGTTTCTGCGAACTCTTTTCAGGCGACACTGAAAGCCGGAGATTTTTCGCGCGAATAAAGGATCATCGGGGGATTACGATTGCGAGAGATCTTTTCGGCGTAACTTTGTAACACACAACGACGCTGCTGTGATGTTACGTTATTCGCCGAAGTGTAAGAGAAAGGAAAGAAAGTACGAGAAATGTGCGGCAAAGTTCGAACTTGTTATGCTAATAATTCCTTTCTTCTGAAAGTTAGCGCTATTTTCTCTCAATATTATTTTGACCTGAAAGGTTTTGCTCTCCTTCGTGCCGCTTCGCGACCGATTTCTTCCCGACCTGAAACTCAACTCCCCGGTATCTATCTTCGATAGTTCATTACGACATTTTGTTATTTCAAGTCATCAATCTCTCCTCGCGCGGTTTGTTGCTCCAAATTGAGAACTCCCACGTCCCACAATTTCGCTTTCTCTATTTTATCGGATCGCGAAGGGAGTTGAGAAATTAGAACTTATTGAGGGGATATAAATTATTTCGCTACATCTCTCGTTTGCTTTGACATAGTTTCCAATTTGTTTCTGTAATCGGGCGCGCTATCAACCGCACACGTACGTGCGTCATCGGCCAAATAAATCATCTCTCGCCTACACCGACGATCCTTTATTTACTACTCGTAGCAGTCCTCCGCGCTTTCTGCGCCGCGAGCGGATCGCAAAAAAGGAAAATCCATCGCCGTCTGCCACGGTTCGCTCGGTTTTTGCGCTCTGTGGAGAACAGAGCCTTGATTCCCTTTCTCTCTACCCTTTCTTTTCAAGGATCTCTTCTCGCACGGTTCGCAGGACGAGAGAAAGAGAGAAAGGTCGGCCTTTCCGATGAAACGCTTATTTCCGATCTTCCGAGAAAACGCGCGGAGATATTCGCGCGCTACTTTGGTGCGCACGCATATTAGATTTTCGCGGTATTCGTCGTCGTCGTCGTCGTCGTCGACGTTGTCGTTGTCGTCGACGCGGCGCGGCGCGGCGCGTTTATCGTGTCCCGCTCTCGCTTAACCGACGGTTCGTTCTCTCGGGACCGTCAGTAGCCCAGCGCCACTCGGCGAAGTGCGTCCACCCTGTCCAATCCCCGCCAAAGCTACACGTCGTGTGCTCCACTGGTGGTGGTCCTATCGTGTGTTCTCGTCCTCGGGACGGTCCACGCGCGATATCCTCCGGATATTGTCACATCCCCCGGCCGGTCGGGTACACGTCAATCTCGCTCGCCACGCGTTCGACGCGTTCTTCAACCCCCTCGCGCGTCAACCCCTCGCTCGCTGTCTCTGTGTCGTTTTTCTTACGCTTCTCTCTTTTTTTTCTCTCTCTCTCTTTACCTACTGTCAACCCTCTTCTCTTGTGCCCCCTTTTCACGTGCGCCTTCCTTTGTCGCTACGTGAACGGTACATACGTGAGTTCTTTCTTTTGCTGGTGAAACCAAGATCGGTGGATTTTTATTTTTATCGGTGGGCTCACGAGTCTTCTTTTTTTCTGTTTTTTCTTTGATTTTTCTCCCCCTTGTTTGTCTCTCTGTCTCTCTCTCTCTCTCTCTCTCTCTCTCTCTCTCTCTCTCTCTCTCTCTCTTTCTCTCTCTTGACTGCGATTTTTGAAATCGAGTCGATAATTCATGAAGAAAAATTGAGATGTCGATCACGAACGAAGAGCTTGTTCGTAATCTCGTGTCCGTGCGTGTAAATCTCTCTCTCTCGTCGAGTTTAAATCTCTCTCTTTTTATCTCAACTTTCTCTTGATTTCCTTCTTGACTTTGGTCTCGCGCGTTTTCTCCTTCGCGTTTATTACAAACGATCATAATTTAAAACGACTACAAACGAGAAGATAAACGCACGACGTCCGAGTGACATTGTTAACTCGGATGTTTATATTTTGTCAATGCTTTTACTATAATTTTTTACATCTAACAGAAGCTTATGAAAATTTTTAATTGTTGCGCCGTTATCCTTTTTATATTTTTAACTATTTTTAACTATTTCTTAAAAAAGTTTTTAGAGTCGCGTAGAGTATTTTTACGTGAAAACGTACGGATTTTTGTGCAACGGATTTGAAGACATTTATAATGCAAGATGTTTCGTTTTTATGCGACGTTTCTGTACGACTTCATAACGCGCCACTTTCGTACGTTTTACGGCTCCATTTTGCAAATTTTCCCCGCGCTGCAGCATTATCAAAAATGTACGTTTTAAGCACCGGAGTGCCGAGAATAGATATGTTTGTAAGATGATCGCACACAAGAGAGAGACGCTTGTCAATTGTAACGCAAGAGTCCACATGTCGTTTTCTTTCTTTTAATTCAAGTTCTGCTTTTAATCCATTAGACGATACCTATAGCAAATCGTCTTTCAGTTTGCGAGTAATTTGAGCTTTTTTTTTAATAATGCTTTTAAGTTCAAATGCATTTTACTCTACATTAGTCGGATCCTTTCATGTTTGCATTCTTTAATCTTTTTGTTTCAAATTTTTTTAATTTTAAAAAAGTTAATCGAATTGCGTTTGTGATAAAAAAATATATATGTATATATTTATATATATATATATTTTTTAAACTTAGGGTCACATTTGTTTGGTCGACACTAAAAGCAGCGAAATTTTTACATTTGTCGGTAGCTACGTGACTTTTTCTTATTTTTCCCCAAAACCGTCAAGTGCTCCTTTTCAAGTATTCTTCACGCTCACAATGTAAGGATCATTCCCTCGGGGCTGATTCCAATTTGGACCGTCCGTACGGTCTCTTCCCCAGAGTTTCCCCGTTAATGATCCACAACTGTTACCCTACTCCTACGTCGTCGAGAGATGCCGGTTGAACATCGACGTTTCTCGTAGCAAATTAGTCATTCACCGGGACATAAATTGGGAACGTCCGCCGTTTGAGTGCAGTTTCCGTAGGCATTTATAGCGGCCTCATTTTCACGACGATATTCCGCCTTTTGTTCGTTAATTTTTAAGTGACGTTTACACTTGCGCCTATAGTTATTTCTCTCAAATTTATTTTCGATTTTGTCAACATTTCCAAAAATAGAACAATTAAAAATATACACCGAGCGTTCGGCTGTGACCCCAAGCTTTGCGGTTGTCTAAAGAAGGGTTAAGCTGAAAACTCAACTTTTTTATTTCAAATTTAGGAAACATGAACGATTGTAGAGTATAAACGCATTCGCATGAAGAAGCGCGTGTTGTCGAATTTATTCGTGTAACCCCGCGCACGTTACATCACCGCGGCGCGATGGATTTTTCGGCTTTTTTCGAATTTATTGCGAGTCCCTTTCCAACGAGCTTCGCGTAATCCGTCGAACAGACGACGAATGCGCGTGAGAATCGCGAGAGAGAGGGCAGAAACGTGTGTTCGTCTAGTTGTTTTTTCTCCGCGGTCGGTGGTTTGCAATCGACGATTTTGGGATTTGTTTGAACAATACGGGAGAGAAAGGAACGATTCGCTCTCTTGGAACGTGAAATTCTCTCGCTGCTCGCGTCCCTTTACGAGCATCGGTGTCTCTCCCCGCGCGCGTCGTCGCGATCCAGTTTACGTTCGCGACCGATGCGAATCACACCATACGAAAAGTCGTTAAAGTCGATACATGCGCTGCGACCCAAGATCGGCCGAAGTTGGAGAGTTTCGTGATGCAGTGATCCGGAGGGACGGTGGTGCGCTTGCCTCTCATCCCACGAAAGAAATGGACAAGGATAGGCATGCACAAGGTAAGGATGTATATACACATATGGCTATTCCGCGACCGCTGTTTCTTATTTTCTGAAATATCATCGATATAACCACTCACCTCCGAGACTCGTTACGTATACATCTCGTCTAATAAAGATAAATCTTCTTCCTCTCCTTTATCTTTCCGTTTTTCTCTCTCTTTTGTCCTTTTTTTTTTTTGCTATCTCGCGCTTCATGCTTTATATCGAGATTTAAACGTAAGATGGATGTTTCTTCCTCGAAGAGAAATTATTCGATGAATCGTTTCGATGAATCCTCTTTGCCGCCGTGTCCTACGCGAGACGGATCGTAATACGCGAGATGATTTCATCTCGCGTCTTACGCGGAACCGTGTCCGCGATTTGTTTCCGTCGGGTTTCTCGATTGAAGCACATTTTTCTTTACCGTGAATATTTCTCAATAAATTAAAACCCAGAGATTGTTTTTTTTTTCGCCCACTCGCGAAGAAGATTCTTTGGAATCGTTTTAATTATAACTAGCGCTCGACAAATTATTATATTGTTGTTGCCTTTGTGCGCTAGATCTTAGGTAAAAAAAAATAGAAAAAGAAAAGAAAATAACATCGCTTGAGTTATACAGAAGAATCATCATCCTCATGCGGTTTACTAGTCGCTGAGTAATGAAAAATCGATTTTTTTTTTCCACAAACGTAAACGCTCAGATAAACACAATTCAATTGTTCGTGCTCGAGAGATTTCAGACTCGCAAATGAGGCCGTCGAAAGCACCGGACCGATCGTGAGAAAGTTATTGGACGGTCAGCACTTTTCGGGACCGTTCGATCGATCCGCGCTAATGGTCAACTAACGTTGTAACCGCGGAAACTCCTGACGAAACTCGTTTCCGGAATTAACTCTCGTTCACTCGCGTGCACGCGGAAAATCACTCAAATCATCTTCGTGGTACTCATCGCGGTCGTTGAAGCGAAGATCGACCGCTGAAAGGCGAAATTCATATGATCGCGGAGATGTGTCGAAAGAGCGCATTTTAATTGATGTTGAGCGAAGCACTATCCGCGAAGAGAGCTATTCGAGGAAAATCCCAATAACGAGTAATATTTTCTACCGTGGAAACGTGCCAAAACGCAGCAGCACTTTTTAACGAAATTATCGTGTGTGCGTCTGAAGCGGATTTTTCTTTTGTGAGGATATAACGTCAATTGTCTCGTGTTCTATCTTCGTTCGTGCGGTCAGGTGAAGCAGACGCGCTTTCAAAACCGGAGCTATTGTGTGTTTTTTTTTTTTTTTTAGTTTAAATCGGTGCATTTTGCCGATCCGTTTATCGGACGAACGATGAGCGAAATCGTCGAATTAAATTAATTCGCGTTAACAATCGTGTCGATATGTAACTTTGACACATGCATTTTCGATGTGTACGGAATTATTACACATCTCTGCAATTTTGACAGACGCGATGAAATTAACGTGTTTTGTTTTTTTTTATTTTCTTCTAAACACGCATGTTTCACCAAACACACAATTTAATTGCAAATTCGGATGCACTGCGAGTACACAGTGCATCTGGATTACGAACGAATTGCCTGAATATCGGGATATGTCGCTGTTTTTCTTCGATCGGATATCAAATGTAATTTTCAATGCTGTGGGAAAAAGAAATCTCGTTTTGTTCTTGCGCGATAAGACGACGATAACGGTATACTTTTCTCTCGAGTTATTGAAGAATTTATCGGCAATCGCGAGGAGAGAGGACTGCAGAAGCAATTTCACACAAAGTGAAGTCTTCATTTTTATAGTTCCGAGTTTGGAAAACGCGTTACACTTAAAATCGATAAATCGTGTCAAATTTATATTTTTGTCGGTATCACTTCGCTTCCATTATTCATACGATACGAGATCGAGTTAATATCTATTCGGAGACAAAATGACAGTCTCTCGCGCCCCAGGATAGAGCTCTAGGTACGCGCAACTTCTGCGACCGAAATAATATTTTTCGCGATGATTTCTGAAAAATTCATAGGGCAATGTGGGAAGATTATATAAAAAATTCTGATAGGGACATCTGAATTATTTATTCAAATATGAAAAACTCGATTATACACCACAATAAAAAGTTAATAAATATATTTACGCGCTCTAATATGTTATTTCACGTCAACATTTTTCGTTCTCGTTATAGGGGAAGAGTGGCATTGAAAGAGCCAATTTTATAGTATGAAGCCAAAAAAACTACTTAAAAAGCAATCAAATATGACGCTTATTGTTCCAATTTGTAATTTATTTCTTTATCTTATGTAATAAACAAAAAGACAAAATTCAATAAGCTTAATAAACATCACTTAATAAACATATTTTTACTTAAAAGAAAAGTAAAATTTGGCTTTTATAACATGGTATTGAAAGAGTTGACTCCTTATAACAAGAATCTTTAACTGTTTATAAACAAAACAATAAACTATTAACAGACATTAAACTTTCAAGAAAACCTTTTAAAATAACAATTGAGAAGAAAAAAAAACTTAATTTTTTTCAAGTATCTTTAGAAGCAATTTTGACAAAAATAATTTAGCGCCCTTTTTATCCCACATTTTTTTGTGTGCCCATTCAGAACAAAGTTTACACTGAGACCATATTTGCTTACTCTTTTTATAGCGTTTAGTGCACATTATACAATTATAATATTACTATTTTTTTTCAATTTTTCTTTTTTTTTTATTTTTGATAATATTTTGTAAAAATCTGAACAAATCATCATTACATTCACTGTCAGAGCAAGATGTTTGATTAAAAAGATTTTTTGATTGTTTGGTAGCCGGTTCTCTTTCATCACACTATAGTCCGGCTCTTTCAAAACTTTTCTTCTTAAAAATTATAATCTCAAAATACACTATCAAATTAACGTTATAAATGAGAAATATTTACATAATTAGGATACTAAATACATATATAAAATCATGATATAATAATTTTTGTATTATTTCTTTACACAAAAATGTTAAAAAACAAAGAAATAAAACTCAAAACTTTACTTTTCGAAGACAAAATCTTTAATACGATGCATCGGCGCTATTTATTTTCAATAATCTGTCAAATGTTTGTGGATGACACACGTCTAGTGTTGCTATATAAAAATTAAAACTTCCGTGAGATTCGTTCAGAAACTGCCAAATAATTGAAAATGGCTCTTTCAAAACCTGGCTCTTTCATGTCACTCTTCCCCTATTTCATAATTACGAATTATATCGTTTAATCTGCATTTTTCGCGAGAAAATCCGGAAGTGAGAATCGCGAATTGGCAGATGAAATATAGTTTGTCGCCGCGAGTTAAGGGTCGAGAGATTTGAGCAGAAAACTCGCACGCTCTGAAGCGCACTTGACATTTCGCGGTCCGGAAGTCTCTCAATCTAAATGTTCGTCGGTGAATTATACTAGATCGAAAGTTTCTCGCGCAAAAGTGCCCGTCGATAATTGCAGATGCGCGATTTTTCATGTCGTAATAAGAAAATTTGTTAGACTCGGTGAAATTACTCGCTGATCTTCTCCTCGCTCGGAAACGTTTTATTTGTTTTCCGAAGTCGGTAACTTCCTAACTAGGAAAATCGCGAGTTGCGATTGAGAAAAAAACGCGATCTGCAGCTGCTTTACTGTAGCGCGCCGGAAGGAATAAATGAATACCGCGCTAATGATGTCTCTCGGATCTTCTCGTTTGTTTCGCGAAAACACGACAAACAGGAACACTCGGATAATTGCAGTAAAGCGCCGTTGAGACGTTACGTTGTCGAGAGTTGTATCGAGGTTGCTCCGCAATTAATCAGTCAACTCTTGGCGCGGAACGCGGAGCTAACTTTTCGCGCGCGACACTTATTTCTGATATTATTGAATTCGAACCGAATTAACGCGATTGCAGGCTCCTCCACGCCGAGCTCCTCCGGAGCTAAAACTACACGGGATTAGCGGTAAGTGAAATATCAAATATTGAATACAGGCTCTGACGTCTGACACAGATATCGCACATAACGCGATATCTTCGGAAAAATCTCTTTGTAAAACAAAAAAATTTTATTTCTGTAAGAGCGAAGTCATATCCAGATGTTGCGTTGAGATATTGTCGCGGAGCGCGCTTTGATTGATGACAATTACTTTGGATGGGATATTAAATTTTCCAAATATATCCTTAATATCCTCATGTGAATAATTCAATGAAATTAACGTGCAATTAATAGAGGCTTTATACATATCGTAATTAAATATATCTTCGCGTAATGAAATTTCTAATAATCGAACAGTAAAACAAATCACAATGTAATATATATATATATATATACATACATGTACATGTATATATAATGTACATTAATTGTATATACATGTACATATGTATATAATTATATGTATATAATTAAGCTCTCTGCTATATATGCAAAATAAATTATGCATTAATGACATGTTTGCCAAATACTCTAGTAATTACGTATACTAATAATAGTAAAAACGCGCTTGTGCACGTATTTTTGGAATATTATTAATTTTCGAAATTTCTCTCTGCATTGTGTGCCATTTCTTTATGTCTGGTAATTATATCTCGGTCGAAATATAACGCGAAATAGTCCGCGATATTGTCAAATGTGATTATGGATCATTCGACAATTGTGATTTGCAATGCAATTATCGTCATGTGAATGGCAAATTGGTACGCTTTTCGGACGCGCAGCATATTTCGTATGACATTTGCTTACATATAGTCCCAGCGCCGGTAATATGTTAATGAATGTGGGATTCACTTGCTTTTTGCAACCTATGAAAAATGCGCATTTTACAGTAGAGAGATTACGATGATAATACATAATTATGATACTCACTTTTGTAAATGTGATATTTTTCTTTACAAATTTAAAAGGAAAGAGTATCATGTGAATATATTGCATTAGGTACTTGCATATATTGTCACTCCCTACCTATAATCTTGTAAACTCCAAAACGCAAAGTTTAGAGGAGAGCAGTTTAAAAGTTTAAAACTTTATA